TCTTCAATGTTGAAATAAGTTGCTCCTGCTTCGCCATCCTTCCATGCACCTTTCTTCATACCTGCTTCATTTCTGCAGGTTTTCTGGAAGTCAGTGCCTGTCTTCAGCGAATGAGGCGAGAAAGCCGAGTTAGTGATGAAATCATAAGCACATATTTTATTACATCGAACCACTTGGGTAAAGTACATCTCCTTAAAGTTGTTTTGTTTCTTTTTCACCAAGTCGATGTGGTAATGTGCCTTTAATGGAGCTTCCATATAGCAATGATTGCTTCACCAGTTCCTTTCAGCACAATTATCTAAATAGCAAAGTGAAGGCATTATGGTTAATAATGAATCAGAGCTCACTGCCTGCAGTGTGTGAAATGTACTCTGTTGGTCAAAATCAATAATTCAAATGCTCTCCAGTTTAATGCCTATGAAACGAAGGAGAAGAAAAGAACACAAACTGCCATTTCAGTTTGTGAAATGGCAGTTTCACAAACTGTCATTTTTTGATTTTTATCATTGTCCAATGGGTAGCATGAAAACTAAACATCAAGTGTGGAGACAGTAGATATTTCTACATTGCCTAAAAATAAAAAAAATAAAAAGTCAGTTTGTTTTTTAAAAATACAGAGTGGTGGAAGGTTGTATTATTTTTGACATGATTGGCTCAGGGTCCCGAAGGTGTGCTCCAAATGAACAGATCAACCACACCTGTGAAGAGGAGGAGCACAAGTGCAGATACCAAAACCACCTGCAACCCAGCGCATGAGGCCCAGAGCCGTAACATGGGGGCTCGTCCGGGAGCAAAGGGGCAGCATTCTATAAAACTGAGTCAGAAGTTTCTTCAGATTCGTTGGAAGACTGACTGCTAGTGGAGATCCTTCTTGCCCACAGCATCACCATCCATGACGAATCTTTGAAGATTATTGGTTGATATGAATTTTGACATTTATTTTCCTTTTGGGATAAAAGAAAAAAACATTTTTTTGAATTGGATTTTATTTAATGCTTTTTTTATTGTTTCTTCAGTGAAGTTTTTGATGTTAAAATAATGGTTTGAATGCATCAGTAGAAAAGCCAGGAACAACTGACAGTGTATATAAACTTCTGACTGGAACAGTGGAGAAAGTCAAATTACATAAACTTGTTCCCTGAGGTCCTCCCGCCCACTCCCCTCTATATTTTCTGGCGATACATAAATGTGTTGGCAGGAGGTAACAGCTGTCCATTCAAGATGGACAGCTGTTAAACAGCAGTTATTGTTTTATAACCAAAACCACTTTGGAGAGGAAGTTACTTTTCTGCTTTTACTGCTCTGGTTAGTGTTTACTTTTGTTTACTGGCATTCTTTCTCCAGGTTTTGGACAGACAACTTCTTATTGGCATAAACTTCTTTTAATTTGGTAAAACTGAGTCTTTCTGTCCTGAATTTGTGGATCTGTCAGAAGCTGTTTTTGCTCTTTCATATTTTTTCAGAACTTCCCCTTTTTTTACCCTTTCTCATCATATTTAGTAATAACTGTTTATTAAATATCTTCACATTTGCATAGAGCTTTTGTATGGTGTGGAATTTCCTCTTTGCAAACTCTGGACACAATAATCTGCTCTGGTCAGTCTGTTGCAGAAATATAAGAATCAACCTGAACTTCCAACATTAGCTCACAGTATGTCATAGGTGTCAAAATGATTCATTCCTCTGACACATTTCGGCTAAACATGATTCATTCAGGAAGTTTGTTTCTGATAGGAAATTAGAAGCATCTCTTTAAAGGTAATAACATAACATCAGATGATCAGCAGTTTTTTTTTTAAAAAAGTGCTTTTGTGAAAATTGTCTGACTAAGCTAGAGCTTCAGTTGCAAAGAATGGGCAAAAATTTGCAACGATGCCTTTCCTTCAGTCAGTAGTGTTGAACAAAAGAAAGGAAACATTTTCTCTCCCCTTTTACAATCATTTGTAAAAGGTATTTTACAATGTGTCAAGCGACGCCTATCAAATCCACCTCATTGATTTCCATTTGCATTGCTTCAAATATGTTGCTTCAACATAAAAACCCCATCACATAAAACCCCAAGCAAACACATTCCAGCCTGTTGTTGCACAGAACAAGAACTGCATGAGCCTGTCCTCTGACTGAACAGAAGTGAAAGACTGAAAGTGAAAATAAACCACCAGATTCCAGACCACTGAAAAACACACTGAGGAGACAGATCCTGTTTCCCTTTGTAGAGGAAGGGCCTTAATAGTCCTCTTAACATGTACTTCAATGAGTTTTGATTGAAAAAGGTCTGAAAGGGGCAATATTATGTGCTTTCCAGCCACACAGAATCACTTTATAGCACAATTAAGTAAGTTATCTTCAGTTATAAAAATGCTCAAATATAACTTAAAAGAAATTTGACTTCCTAATTTAGCTTCTTGAAATCGGGCCTCTGTCTCTTTAAGAAACTCTTTTTTCTTTTTGAAACTCCGCCTTCAGGAAGTCATCACAACATGGCTCCTCTATTTACCCTTAAGCAATGTTTTTACCAGAGTTGCACTGAGAAGTAGCTCCTTTAATGAGCTCAACAGCTCCACCAGGTGTTCACTAATTGCTGCTGGTTAGTCTGAAGGATCAGAGTGGGGGAGTCACTGGGGAGGAGGGCTCTGTTCGTCCTCAGAGGCGAAGCTGGGTCCACCCAGATGTTTTCCACAGCTGAATGGTTGCCATGGAGATTAAAGGATGCTCAAACATGCATGAAAGAATCAAAGCAACACTCCTGGTATGTTTTTGATGAGAGAATAATATAACATGATGCAAAGCTAAAACAAAAAGTTGATTTTACATCATATTGACTCCTTAAGGTCAATTATCAAAATGTGCTTTTTGATACTTTACCCCTTTAAAAATGATAGGCTCCTGCCCCTTTAAATGTCATGCATGCTGTGTTCATGCATAAAAAACTGGTCTATTTGCTGCTAGGCTATTAAGACTTTTCTCACCACATCCTGCATCTTTCTTCTTTCTAAATGGTTGCTCTCCTATGGGAAACAATGAAACACAAAAACAACATCATCAGTGGACTCATTTAGAACAGCTCAGCTGTTTGTTTACATTCTCCCTTCGTTTGGCTTTCTGAAAACAAGACTGATTGAAATACTCGGAAATTTGAGTGAAACCAACTTACTGTATAGATTAGTCACACACTGTCTTAGAAAAGGAGGGTAAGAAGCAAAAGATCATTACAAAAGCAGGATGTTTACAGAGTATTCAAGTATATCATTAGAAAGTTGGGTGGAAGAAAGATGTTTGGTAGAAAAAGGCGTGAATGCAGCAGGGATAACTGCATCACAGTTGTCAGAAATTAAGACTTAAAAATAATGAATATATAACTATCACCTTTTTAAACTGAATTATTAAAATAAATGATCAGAAACAAATTGGTCAATATAGATGGATAACAATAAGGAAATACTACCAGAGCATAATATTTAATTGTTCAAATATTTGTTCAAATGAACATTTAAAAATTCAAGGTTTTGTTCCCCCTAAAGAACTTCAAGCTTTCTACCTAACATCAGACTACAGAGGGCGCACAACGTCCAAATCGAATGCTGTTCTATAGGTGGTTAAATGGAATTGTGGGTAATGCAGTCAAGAGGTTGTAAAAGAAGAATGCTTAGTGGATTCAGCCCTTTAGTTGTGCATGGAGTCGTAACTTGTACATTATATCCAAATGAGACACCGTCTTCACTCTCCAGGAATATTTTACAGTGCATCTACTGTGTGCACCACAGGAGGGCGCCATTTCCCACTGCCTGGCCATGAAAGCAAATTTGAATCTTGTTCTCGGCCCAGATGACATTACTACTTACCAGTTTTATAATAGTTACAAAAACTAAAAATATTTAATATTATAATATGAATACTCTATAAACACAATCCAAAAGATTATCTGTTCATCTTCAAAACCACTTTTTGAAGCCTTTGACCAAATGTAGAAAATTCAGTTAACTACAGAAGTCAGGTAAAAGTAGGTAAAGTTGACTCCAAACCAAAATATTAGCATGGAAATCACAACACACTTACTGAATCATATTTACTCCCATTCATGACCGTCTAGTTTGTAGGATTTTAAATCCATGTCATATTTACCACTAAAGAATGTAAACAATTTTCTGCAAACTTATGACAAAATTAAATATAGAATATTAATGCGATTTTTAATTGGGGCCTACTTTCATAAGTTAAGCAAAGTACAGCAAAAATACCCACATTTAGATTCTACACAGTTCAGTTTTACTCCTGGTTGCCTGTAGAGGGAGCTCTACACCACACCCCCAGTCAAATTTCTAAACTAGAAAGCATTCATCTTCCAAAAACAAAACTGATCTATGACCCTCACACATTCATGATCTAGATGCCAACAACAGCACAATATATTTACTTACAGCAATTTCTGTTTATTAAGACATTCATACACTTCAGGAGAGGAGGGGAGAAAAGAAGGAGTCAGTGAGGAGTGGAAATGACAATATACTCTGTTAAGGGTAAAACCACGGCAGCAAAATATGGCCAACCTGTAAGGAACTCTGATATAGCATGTGGGATTAAAAAAAATATATATGGTACATTTAAATTAAACACATTCACAAAAGAAACACAAAAAAAAGCAAGTGAATCTACAGTATAACATGACAAGTGCCTCTATTAAGCAGGCCCACAAGACATCGCACATATGTTAGCATAACATAATTTGCAGACTTTATACAGCACTTATACCTTTTAGTCCACAAGTAGGTTACTAAACGGTGGAGAACATCGAATACACGCATCTTATTTAAACATGAAAAGAAATACCTGATAAGGACCCTAATGTTTACACGCCCCATGGCTCTGTAGCTCCAACCAGCTGGCCGACGAGGTCAGAACTTACAACTGTCCAGGAGGGACCACCATATGAGTCACCTCGCTTTTAACGCACACCAAAAATCTGATCCAAGGTTTAGCATTGAGAAGTTGTTTTTTTTTTTCCCCCTCGAATAATATAAGCACAATGCAAGTGGACGATCGCTATCACTGCGTAAAAAAAGAAAAATAAAGATAGATCTCAGGTCTCAAATCAGGTCGGCCACATTCATGGGCATCTCCTCCACGGTGGTGTTGTAAAACGTCTCGATGTCTCGAAGAATCCTCTTGTCCTCCTCTGTGACGAAGTTGATGGCAACTCCTTTTCTGCCGAAACGGCCGCCGCGACCGATTCTGTGGAATGACGAGGAGCCGTGTTAGTCCACAGCACAGCTACGCGGTTCAACACAGACCCTCCAAGATGTGGAGAGGGTATTTTGTGATTATTTCAGCCTAAAATTACTGATTTTGTGGCCCTTATTTTTCAGAAAAGTTGCATATTTTTAAGCATTATTGTTTGGAATTGCAAGAAAAGTTGAAGTTGCTGCAAAAGGAAGGTTTCAGCATATACAGATAATATTTACAGTACAAATAACATTTTCATGGACCTTGTTGAAATGGCAATCTTGACAAATAAAATCATGTTGAGGAGAACTTTAACTGCTTCAACTCACCTATGAATGTAATTCTCACGATTTGTAGGAAGGTCATAGTTGATGACCAGGGAAACCTGCTGAACGTCGATCCCACGAGCCTAGAAAGAACACACTCATCTGAAACCAGCATCAAATCCCACAGATCAACAAAGTTCACGTTTCAGAATGTCGCCCGTGTTTAAGTAGCAGGTTCCCACGTCAGCGGAACCCACTGTGGAGAACGAGCCTTAATCTCCCCAACGTTCCACCTGCTTGGCCATTTTTAGACTGCTGCAGCATTTTAAACCATTTGGGTTGCTTTCAGAATAATAGTTATATATAATAAAAAAATCAACAAAAAAAATCACAAAGTTTATTATCATTTGATACTAACCAGAAGATCAGTTGTAATCAACACTCTGCTGGACCCAGAACGAAACTCTCTCATAATTACATCCCGCTCCTTCTGGTCCATGTCTCCATGCTGTGAATTAAACAGTTGGTTAGCTGAGGAAAAACCAAGCTAACATGCTAACGGGCTAACGGGATGCCATACCAGAGCAGATACTGTGAAGTCCCTAGCGTGCATCTTCTCAGTCAGCCAGTCAACTTTTCTCCTGGTGTTGAGGAAGATGACCGCCTGAGTGATGGTCAGAGTCTCATACAGATCACACAGAGTGTCCAGCTTCCACTCCTACAGACAGACGGAATGGACCAACGTTACCCTGACGGGTCACAGCCTGACGCTGCAGCAACACTGGGTTTAAACTAGGCCTGGACCACATGGTGGTAAAGCACCAAGTGTTTCATATCAGTCGGTAGATTGATTAGTTTTTTGTTCTAAATATCTGAAATAATGCCAAACTGGTGCCGTGATCTTTCCTGTTTATATTTAAGCAGTTATGAGGCAAGGTGTGAAAAACAGGTTGTTGCTAGGTAACAAAAAAGAAAGTTAGTTGCCTCCGATTCAGAATGAGAAGTATTTTTGGAAAAAGTAGGCAGAAGAAAGGCTTTAGCCACTCAACCTCTCACAGACAGATAAGCTGGGTTGGTGGCATTAACTAACTCACTCTTTGGTTACCTAGCAACAACCTGTATGCCAACTTGTGCAGCAGCAGTTTAAGCTTTCCGCAATAAACAGCGTAGAGTGAAAACCATGGAAAATGCAGGTTACAAGTTGGGCAGCATTTCATACACTTAAAAACCAAAAACTAATCAATAATTATTGATACCGATTGAGTCTTTCAGTCCTATTGTCCAGCCAAAGTGCATCACCATATGTGTGACTGATTTACTGTCCAGTCCTAATTAAAACACACACAGGATGTGTAACACAGGATCTTGAGACTGAGGAGAGCGGACATTAAGAAAGTGGTCCCTCCCAGCCTCGTTTGCGACCCCATGAACTTTTGTCTCCTTCCCTGGTGTACCCATGCTTACACGGCCACAGGAGCCAAACCCGGCCGGGTCGGCTCACGCGGTTTGAGCAGGGTGCTTTGGAGAGAAGAGGTGGAATGGATGGAACAGAGGGCGGACGTGCAAACCAACCTCTCTCTCCACGTTAATGTAGAACTGCTTGATGCCCTCCAGGGTAAGCTCCTCCTTCTTCACCAAGATGCGGACTGGGTCACGCATGAACTTCTTGGTCACCTCCAGCACGTCAGCGGGCATGGTGGCGGAGAGCAGGACCACCTGGAGAGGGAGGAAGTGTTAAGAGTGGAGGCGACGCAGACGATTGGCTGTAGCACTTCACCTCGAGACAGCAGCCAATGAACATTAAGAAAGAGGTTCGGCTGCGTCTCGTTTGCGGTTTAGTGCACGATGATCTCCTTCTACGTGAAACTCTGCTGGCATTATTGTGTGAAACAGATCGACTGCGTCACACAATTACAGCAGAGTTCTGTAGATGCAGAAGGATGGTCAGTGCAGTCAGGAAGGTTTCCTGATTTCACTGTAAATTTACACTTTCTGGTAAAATTTTACCAAATGTAAACAGTAAAACTGAATTTATGGCAATTGCAACACAGATCATTTTAAATACAAACTCTTAAAAAAAATAATGATAATAAATTTAAAAAAAAACTGAGAAAGAAGAAAGATGAGGAGGGTTAAAGCCAGAGCTGGACGATAAACTAATTTTATCAATGCATCAAATTTTTGCTTTGTTCAAGATTTAGTTTTTGGAAAATGTGGGCATCTTCATCATCAAGTTAGCAATAGCTGACTTTGAAACAATTGTGCAAGCTGAATCTATTTTGATGGGGCAAAAAGTGCAAACTAAGCCTTTTCCCCCCTTAGTAAACACTTCTCATAAGATAAAAATTTTCCATCTTTTTACTACTGTAGCTATATTACCATAATTAAAAAAGTTTTTGAAACCAGACCCTAATACTCCATCATACAACTCAAAGGGATGTTTGAAATGAAGGCCACTTTTTGAAAATGTGGTCATTTGTAATTTATTTTTATTTATTTATTTATTTATTTATTTTTGAAAACAAAGGGCAAAAAAAAAAAAAGCCTCATCACCCAGCTCTAGTTAAACCTGGAATGAAAGGACAGGTGGATCAAGGAGAAACAAACATGGACAGGTTATGGACAAACAAAATAAAATCTGGAGTTATATACTTGAATGTTTGTGCTGAGCTTCTGGAAGATCTCATAGATCTGATCCTTAAACCCTCGACTCAACATCTCATCAGCTTCATCCAGAACAAACATCTTGATCCATTTTGGAGCTGAAAGATAAAATAGAAACAGTTCAAATGTGCTCATTAGAGATTAAAAATCAACAATGCTACAGGCTGCGTTGCTTACACAGATGCCTCCTGTTGAGCATGTCGTACACGCGGCCCGGCGTACCCACCACTATGTGAGGGGCCTCGGCCTGGAGTTTCTGAATTTCACTGCGGAGGTTGGTGCCTCCGATGCAGGCATGGCAGGTCGCCCCCATGTAGTCACCCAGAGCCAGAATGACCTTCTGGATCTGCGGAGGAGAGAGACGAGCACGGGTTCAGGACGGCTGAGTGCAAACCGGCGGTCCAGACGAGTTCAAAACATCGGCTCAGTGATCAGTAAGTCAGAAAGGAACTCTCCATCTCAAGAGTCAGTCCCGAAAGATGGTATACCATCACATCACTCAAGCTCTCCACAGACACAAAGAAACTCAGCAAAATGATCTTTCAGGCCGATGCAGCCATGGACAGAGACTACACCAAGCCACACAAAGACCTTCTTAAAAAACAAAACAAAAAAAAAAAAAGGTTCAGAAATTTGTGACAAATCCATAAAAGATGGTACCTTCGCATCTGAACAGTGTCCTCAGTATGCTGCCTAGGTCTGAGACACTGTTGAGGTCACATGACCTCAGGAACAGCATACCTGCTGAGCCAGCTCTCTGGTGGGAGCCAACACCAGAGCCTGAGTCTCCTTCTGCTCAATGTCCAGCTGCTGCAAGATAGAGATGGCAAACGTGGCTGTCTTGCCAGTTCCTGACTGGGCTTGGGCAATGACATCGTAGCCTAACGGTGAGGAAACACATTTAATATCCCTTCATAGAGCATCCTCACACAACACAGAGGCACAACTACAGAATGTCAGCATTAAATTGGATGATATTGAGTGATCAGTAAGGTAATAAAAAGTATCCCCATTTGTTGGGTAAGTCCCGAAAGATGGTTAAGCATCACTTCACTCAATCACAAGGCGCTTCCCCCGAGTTCAGCTCAATGCCTGTACCTTTGATGCACGGGATGATGGCCCTCTGCTGAATGGCAGACGGCTTTTCAAAACCATAAGCGTATATTCCCCTGAGAAGAGACTCCTTCAGGTTCATATCATCGAAATTGTCTGTAATCTCATTCCAGTTGCTCTGGATTGGCAAGAAAGAAAGAAAAAAAAACCAAACAAACAATTGAGAATGTCTGAAATCATTACGTGTCCCTATATTAGCAGTAGAGTGAAGAAATCGCTTTTTGGATTCACCTCGATGACACCATCAGGCTCCATTCCTTCTGGCCCCCCATGGTCTCTATCTCTTGAGCTGTTTGGGAAGAAAACAAATCTGATAAATGTCTTGCTTGTACGCCGCTCAGATAAGCAGCCTTATCACATTTTCAGAGTTTCCCCCTACATGCCATTGATCATGGTGCACCTTCAGGATTAAGTTTGTTTTAGAATATGCTAAAATATAAAGCAAAACCAAAACAGCCGGCTCCTGTGCGCCACGCCGCTGTCGAGAGTGAAGTAAGACTAGATGACGGTTCAAAGTAGAGGGACAGAAACATACCTAAGGAAGGTTGAGTTGAAGGCATTTTTAGTCCAAGTATGTGAAAACGATCCTAACTTTAAGATATTGTCACATTCTTAAAATAATGGCCCAAGTCATTTTTCTTTTTTTGCCAAAAGATGATTTAGGCATAATAAATAAAGATTTAGGCCATTATTTTGAACAACAGTAACATAAATGATACGTTGGCCATTATGTGTAAGGTTTCAGACTTGTTCTGAAAGCTCCCTCCCACCACCATAAAAAAAGGAAAAGAAATTCCTGCAGGAACCCCTCATTTTTATCTGTATTAACATCTCATTTCACCCTTTGGCCCTCAATTTTGGATCTTTTTGCTTATAGAGGTAGGATGTGTCAGTTTATGTAAAGTATTGAAAAAGCAGAGGGGAATTAGTAATTTTTTTTCCACAAGTACACTTTAAATTCTGACTTCCAAATATGTTTAAAGTAAAAATCTTATATTTTTTAATGGAAATTTGGGTTTTTTGCCTATAAAAATTCAAATTCCATCAACTTTGATTCAATATTTGTTCTAAAATAAAAGTGACAAAAATGTGTTGTACTTTGAATCCAACTGAAAATTAAACCCATCAATTAATGTATAAAGTATGCCTCCTAATCCTTTTATTCAATATCAAACTGAATGAGCACCAGAGTATGCCCTCTCTGTTGATGCATGTTAAAACCAAAAGTAGCATGAATATTTTCCTGTGGAAACATTTGAAATAATCAGAAAAATCCCCAGATATACCACTTTCTAGCACATGTATGCTGTAAAGTACATTTTGTGCTACTACATAGCAAAACATCTACGTACATTTAAACAGGTTGACAACTGTTATACAAGTTTATGTTTAAGAAACCTGCAAGTTTATACTTTTGGAACCAGTGTCCAATTTTTCAGTGGAACAATTTAGCCACTAGCTGAATTGTAAACTATAAGGCATTGAGGGGAAGGGGGTAGCAGCCCTGGGAAATGGGGCTCTGCCACATTAAGTGAAAAAGCCATATTAACACGTGTAGTGAGTGTGCCCGGAGCGGTCCGGGTCACGCCCAGAGTATCTCATTACCATAGCTCTGAGCCTCAGTGGGCGCACGTGTCAAATTCCACGAGCTGGCCGTCTACTACCTGCCCGAAAAGTTTTTGGTTATATAACCTCAGAAGGGTTCGTTTAACCCCGGGAGAATAAGAGCCACAAGCCCCAATTCGGGTGTGTTCCGCGTATTTCAACATGGAGTTCCGTGTGTGCGCCTGTATCAGATAGCCAATATGTCGGATAATTGGGCCTGCACGGGCAATGGTGACTTCTACCTAGAACTAGGCCGAAAAGCACCCTGGGCCAGCGGTTCCCCTGGCAAGCACCAGCCACTTTAATAAAGAAATAAATAAAAACTTCTATGCAAGGAAAGACGAGTGTTAACAGAAGCTAACGTTAATTGAAAACCTTAACGACTAATAAATAATGCACCATAACGTTAATTTATATCAGAGGTGTTTCACTGCGGCTAACTGCTACGCTAGCAACCAAATCACTCCGAAAGCAGTTAGGCCTAACTGACTCGATATAAACTAATACGTTGTCATGCAACTTACTGAACACTTCCGGCCGTTCGGGTACAGTTAAATATTAGTCTGTGTCTCAGAAAAATCTCCAAATGTAGCTCTTTACCTGTTGTAATCAGCAGAATCGCTAGACATGATCCGTTCACCACTTCAGCATGCGACTGAAAAGATCGCTGATGGCGACGCCAACTGCCTTTAATGCGGCTGGACTATTTTCGCTGACATTTCTTATGCCCAGTTTTATTGGAAAAATAGTGGCAGTTAACTGAATTATTGGATTTACCACCATTAACTTTGTATGATAGCATAATATCAAAATGAATATTTTATTAAGTGATAATATATTTTAAAATGTACAGACTACATTTCTCAGCGGAAGGATAATGCAGTAATAGGTAGTGCATCGACTGCTACAGCGTCTCTAACAGGTCAAAACTCGGCGTGACAAGGTTGTGCAATAATTTTAGAGCTAGTTCTCTGTTAGGGATGAAGAGTTGGAGAAATGAAATACTTTCAGAACAAAATAGACACTTTGTCATTACATATTTTATAGATATTTAAATAGACACAATCAACGTGCGGAAATAACGTAACTTTGTGATACCTAAATTATCCAACGGTTTTTGTTCTGATAGTAGTTTAAATCACATTTTTAAAACCAGACATTGTCAAAAAACAAAAACAAAAACTGTTTGTACAGAGAAACATGTATTGCCAATCTCTGCTCCTTTATTCAGGAAGAGTTACACACGTTTAAATATCATGTAACCGCAATCACAGTATCCTATCTTGCACTTAGACTTTCTAATATTTTTGGTTTCTTGCTCCGTCGGAACGCATCCAGCATCATCATACAATGATGTCTGTGCACAACTTAAATTATAATTTCAGTATTCTGATGCAGTAGAATGAAGAAAGTCTTAACAAAGGCACTTCTAGTTAGAAGTCACTCGTTAGTGATTAAGTGATTAATCTTAAATGTTGGAACGCAAACAGAACATACAAAACAAGAATGTGGTGATTACCATTTTGACCTTTTAGATTTTCTGTCATCAAAGCATGGTACAAACTTTACACACAGACTTAAATACACACCTCTCCACTATTCCCAGATAGCACAGAATGATTGAAACAACATTGAATCAATGTCAGCCAGAAACATTGAATCGACGTTGAACGCTGACATTGAAACATTGAAAGTGGTCAGTCACTTGTATGTTGAATCAACGTTAGGGTTTCAACCATAACTGACATTATATCAATGTTGATTCAACAATCATCTGTATGTCAACTTACATGCATATTTGTGTTATTACATTGAATCAGTTAGGAATCAACGTTGATTCAACCATCATCTGAATGTGAATCTACATGCAGATTTGGGTTGATTTTATATTGAATGAAAGGTAAGGATTTATGTACATTTTTAGGTCTGATAGATCTACATCATAACATGCCACTAAAAGTTTCTTCACTGGTGTTAAACACACTATATTATTGGCAGATCATGGGTAAACTGTGTACAAAAGGTTAAAAATGACAACATGGTTGTCATTTATTTAAGAAAAGAGGGACAGATCTTTAAACATATTTGACTCCTTTTTGACTGTCAAAACAACAGTCTGCTGTCCACAGAAGAACAGAGTCCATGAGGTTAAGCTTTGTACTGTTGTGGTAACCCCAGTTTGACTCTGGTTGGCATCACTTTGATTCCTTGCGATGTCTTCCTCTTGTTCTGGCGTGTAATGAAGCCACTTCATTATACAGAATAAACTTCCATCAAATAGCTGGTTCAATCTTCCATCAACTACAAATAGTTCCAAATAAGTTGATTAAATTCCTTAAAAAGTGTCTATATGCTAATAAAGATCCCACACAAATAACAATAGTCCAGTTCAATTTAACCAGTAACCAATCCAAGGATCAACAGACTGAATCAGTCATTAGCAGGTTTAGTTCAGTGTTTCACCTGCCTTACATGTTTTAAGTGTTTCCCTTCTGCCTCACCTGGATTTAACAACCTTCTGCACTTCTTGATGGCTGCAGACGATCAGGCAATCATCTAACTCAGCTGTTCTGGAACAGAGGCTCATTTAAGCACGTCCCTAAGCGCAATTAAAAGTTAAAAACAAGTGATTACTAACTTTGCTAAACCAGTTTCTGGTGTGTGTTCGGGATCGTTGTCTTGTTGGCACTCACTTTTGAAGATGTGACATTTTAAAACAGGTGTATCTTTCTTGGACAGCACCTGTCAGTGTAAATCTTATTTTAGACTAGAGTCACTCTGGTGATTCCTGGATTGTTTCCAAACATCATGACTGACGTTGTTTCATATGAGGTTGTCAGAATGGCCCCTATTCTAGACGAGGTTTGATCTACCGAGCCACAACGACAATAAATTGTGTTTAATGGAGTCAATGTGAGGCTTTTAGATCAGCATTGTAAAACCTAACTAGTTCTCTTTTCATAAAAAAATGTATGTACATTTTTTAGTTTTCATTAACATAAGTGATTGAGTAAGTTAACTTGTGCCATTTCAGTGAGCGTAACTTAAATTAGTAAATCTGAGCATGTAGTAATGATTTAAACAACACCCAAAGCTAATTATTTTAGCTTTGGGGCTTATTTTAGCTTACTGAAACAGCTCTTCCCTCCTGCTTTTTATTTGTTCTATCTACTCAAATTTTGACAGAAATCAGTGATATTTTTGCCCACCATTTTTCAGAAAAACAAACACAAGCATACGCAAGAATTCACACTCAGCTAGAATGAGATGGTCGTGAAAATGGATGCATAGCTCACTCCTGGTACAGTTTCACAAATATACTGTACATCCCAAAAAATAGCTAACAAGTGCTTTGACGGGGTGACTGGCTGTGTGGGTAGTCTTGCGATCAGAAGGTTGTAGGTTCATTTCTTCTCTCCTCCTGCCATGTTTCAATGTGCCCTTGGGCAAGGCATATAACCCCAAATTGCCTACCGGTCTACGTATCGGTGTATAAATGACTGCATAGCTAATTTCTGTTGCTGTGGGTTACCTGTCTGACCAGTCTCAGTCAAATTACTTCAATTTGACTGAGCTAATTTTTGAAAATGTTTTTACCTCAAAAAGCCCTCAACTTATTTACTTCAAGTGTTTAGTTTAACTACATAAAAAACCTAAGTTAAATCCACTTGATTTAATTAAAGTCAACATTGTAATTAACTCTACACCTTGTTTGGACTTTGTGTAATTGGGTGTTAGCAAAACCTTGATCATGCATCTTTTTCAATGAAATGCGGTGCTATAGCTTATAGTGTAATAAATCTTTGCTATCTGTCAAGTATGGTGTACGTAGAGTTAAGCTGTTGGGGTGTTTCACTGCTTTTGATACTACTGGTGCACCACACGAGTTGGGTGGAACAAATGATAACGTAAGGACTACCCCCAACTTCTACAAGTTCATCCAAAATAAGCAATAACCATATAGACTGTGAAAATGTGGAAAAAGTGTGTTCCATTAGGGAAATCATCCCAAACAGGTCCAAATTTGTTTTGGAATAGATAAAGCGGGTTGACAGTACATTTCTGTAATGATCAAAACTCAAACTCATGTAACTTTTATGAAAAACATTTGTTGAAACTGTCACGACATGGTGACATGGGATGGGACAGATAATCTGTGAGAAACTGATCTCCTCAGTTTCTCAGTCCATCAGAAGGGGTTTCTGATGGACTGAAGGAGGATGGGCTCGTAGGGCTGATAAATTGTACCAGGATACATGGCAACTGTTGCTCTTTTGGGTACGAATCCTCTGGTGACAAACACCCCGGTTCCTGCAAAGGCTAAAGAGCTGGGCCTCCTCTCGATGCAGAATCCCAGAGTTTGAAACAGAACGTCTCCTTCGTTCTGCTCCTGGTGAAGTGGAAACCGGAGCGTGAAGTTCGCGTGGGCTCCCAGGAGCAGCCCCTGATCTCCTCAATTTCTCACAGAGGAGATCAACGACAAACAAAATCTTACCAAGTAATTTCGGTCTAGTTTCTAGTGCAAATATATTAATGCACTTGAAATAATGCATTAACGATCTATTATTTAACTTATAACAAGACATTTTTCCCCATGCCATCAGTGAAATCATTTTCCAACAAGCACATTTATATCAATATTAATGAATTATTGACTCTAAGCAATCATCTGATGCTTAAACGTTACTTATATGTTAGTTTTGTCTCATTTCAAGTGTACTATATTTGCACAAAAAACTAAACCAAAATTACTTCTTTTTTTTTTGCAGTGTACCACAATACAAGTGAGTATTAGGTCAAATAAAAATCGCAGTGGATTAATAAAATGTCGGGAAGCCTGCTTATTGTGTTAATTTTTTTGTTCTTTATTTATTTACTTTTGGTAAGAAAATTTGGAATATTTTCAGCGCACAATGGTGTAATAGTTGGAGAAAAGTTCCTCTCCTGCTCTTATGTCTCTGAGCGACACCAGGACCACGCAGCGCAGAGGTCTCTGGGTACAGTGCTGGCTGTAGTTGACGTTTGGCAGATACTGGCGGAGCTCCAGGGGAAAGCTGTCCGGGACGTCGTACTCCTGGTAGCAGACATTGGCGGGCCTTTCGTTGGAGCAGTTGTTGATGTACTGACCCACGGCCAGTGGGTTGAGCGGACTGTCCGTCAGCCAGCTGGCGTCACTTGTCAGGTACGGACCCAATCTGTCCCTGCCACTGCACGACCTGAACACCATCCTGGAGATGCCTCTGTCATTCCCATCCACCAGGACCCCGTCAATACAGCGGAACACGAAGGGGTTTCTGATGGACTGAAGGAGGATGGGCTCGTAGGGCTGATAAATTGTACCAGGATACATGGCAACTGTTGCTCCTTTGGGTACGAATCCTCTGGTGACAAACACCCCGGTTCCTGCAAAGGCTAAAGAGCTGGGCCTCCTCTCGATGCAGAATCCCAGAGTTTGAAACAGAACGTCTCCTTCGTTCTGCTCCTGGTGAAGTGGAAACCGGGGCGTGAAGTTCGCGTGGGCTCCCAGGAGCAGCCCGCCGCTGTTCCTGAGGAGGGCTCTGAAGAGCCCCAGTAGGCTCTGTGAGACCTGCTCATCTGGGATCACTTTGTCTTCTGAGGGCTCCGTCACCCGCCGCAGGGTCTTCTCATTCTTGGACAGGTTAAACACAACCCAGGGCACGAAGCGGTGTCTGTAAGATCTCCATTTCTCCCGAAACCGCCGGAGAGCCGCTGTAAACATCCAGGAACAAAACGGGACAAGGAAGCAATTTGCGTGCTGTGTTCACGTTGCCTCAAAAGGGAACGGAGAAGTACGTCACACCCGGTACGGCGCATTCGAGCTACAGGTGGGAAAATTAAAATTAATAACATTAAAAGCAGGTCGGAAACCATAGTTTGCGACGTAGGTGGTAATTTGTAATGCTAACTACTGGCAGAAATAAAAGTGAATTGTTAGAAGGGCAGCTACATTTTATATACGCTACATTGTATATAAACATTGTGCCTTGCGTTCAGCCATGTTGAACACAAGGCTGCTTGAACGCATTCCATTTTGCAAGAATTTTGGAAAAACATTTCTATCTTTCGTTTTCTCTCTCTACACCTCTCTTCCCTTACTAGAAACTCGGCACTAAGTATTCCGAGCACAACTTGAACGCACTCGTGCTCTTACGTCACTTCCGAAAAGTTTTGTATCAGTTTAGCTTTTTTTAAAAAAATCAAAAACTAACATAAGATGTTTAATTGTCTGTTTTGAACAGGTATATCCAACTGTTTAATACAACTTATAAATATAGTTTCACATTTGACACGACTGGCCCTTCGTGTGTGTTTTACTTTTATTTTGAAGCGTAACTTTGCAACCGGAAAAAGGCTTGTAGTTCAATTTGTAAAAACTCAGTTGCTAGCTGGATGGGAGAGAAGAAAGTCTGCTCGAGACAAACATGGTAAGAAAGTTCTGTCTTTTTTGGTTTCTAATTTGAATAGTAGTTTGAGTGGGTTCAATAAGGCACCTCTCTTTACAATAGCGAAAACAAATGTAGCTCGTCTTGTTAGCGTAAGTATCTAACCCCCCTATATGTTTAGTTAGCTTGCTCTAGGGCAGGAGTGTCAAACTCCAGTCCTCAAGGGTCGCTGTCCTGCAGTTTTTAGATGTGCCACAGGTACAAAACACTGGAATTAAATAGCTTAATTACCTCCTTCTTGTGTAGATAAGTTCTCCAGCGCCTTGCTAATGACCTAATTATTCTATTCTGGAGTAGGTACAGCAGAGGCACATCTAAAAGTTGCAGTGCAGTGGCCCTCCAGGACTGGAGTTTGACACCTGTGCTCTAGAAACTCCTCATTCTACCAGTCATGAATTCTCGTGTCCTGACTGTTGTTCACTAACAGTAATGATAAGTTGACTGGCATAATATAGTACATTATAAGTAGTTTAGTGTAGCGTTTTCTTAGTGGTTCTCCTTCCAGTTAGCTCGCTGTTTGTGTAGTTATTGTTGTTGATGTAGCTAACTGCTAGAAGTACCACAGTAGATTTTTATAGACTATATTGCACCTATGAGATGAATAAGATTACAGACTACAAGCCAAGCCATAGTGTTAAATTTCAATACCTAATCCTACACATGATCTCATTAAAGAACTGTCAGATATTTCTATAAACAAACTCCTAATTCTTATTGAAGGTGCTGTAGTAATTAATCATTAGAATCAGGAATAGAACAATCTTAAAGTTAATATATGTGTGAAGGCAAGTAACCTGGTACTTTTAGAATTATAGTGTGTGTTTTAATTAAGATTGGAAGTAAGTACACTTAATAAACATGTGTATGTCTCAATCATTTGAATGTGTCAAAAGTCAAATGTATTTTTAGTTATTTAAAGGTAATATTCATTTGTTAAAAATGCAAACTTATGTTAAAATTCTAGGTAATTGTTTTTCTTTTTCTTTGTCGTGTTTAAGTGCGGTCATAAGATATAAAAAGTAGTAATTTCATGTTGTACTATATGGAGACCTTGGATTAAAAGAAAACATTTTTACATAATTAATAATTACAGTATTTTATTGTGTGTGTTGTGTTTTTCTTCAATCCAGAACAAGCTGAAGTCCTTCCAGAAGGACAAAGTTCGTCAGTTTATCGTTTTTACACAATCCAACGAGAAGACTGCGGTGGCCTGCTTGTCTCAGAATGACTGGAAGCTAGATGTTGCCACGGACAAGTTTTTCCAGAACCCAGAGCTCTATGTTTCAAATACTAAGGGGGGCTTAGACAAGAAGAGGCTGGAGCAGCTGTTCAACAGATACAGAGGTAAACAAGATGCAGGTTTTCCCCCAGTGTATTATAAGTCTGGCGGGCCACCAGGCTTTACTTGTGCCCTCACCAGGCTAAGCATTGTTTATTTATTTAAGACTTGTTAAAATGTTTGCAGTTTTTAAGGTATTAATATTCCCATCTTTCAATAATGGATAATTATCAAGTGATATTTTAAAATTTTCTGTCAACTTTAAACATTTTTTTTAACTCAAAAAAACAGAACGGTCTGCTGGATGAATGACTGCCCGAGCGCCCAACCACCGGGCTTAGCAAGTTTTCTGGGAGCAATCTTGGAGATGGACAACTCATGGTCACAACCCGCCCCCCCTCCAAAGAAAAAAAAATGTTGGTTTAGTTTAGTTCAGTCAACATATCTCACAGATGATTGGGCGAAAGTGGTGTTCATTATCCTGTGTTGGTGTTTGGTGCCACCTGAAGATGACCCATTTTCACAGTCACTGATAAAAGAGAACAAGAGCATCAATCTTCTTTTAAAGTTTAGCATTTCCAGACATGAAATGGTTTGTGATTAAAGAAAAATCTTCTGGCGACCTTGTTCTGTTAGTTGACATTGATATCTCCGAAGTTTTAACAATAACGACAGGACCTCATCTGTGTTTTGGTTATTTTTTTTATCGCTTTACCCTCCGAGTCTTGAACCAATCAAAGTGTCTTTCAGACCCCATCCCAACCAGGTTTGGTTTCTCCAACTCAACTTTGTTGTCATTGAGTTCAGTAGATGTCTGGTAACAAGACATTCATTTGATTCAGGTGGGAAAATAGTTCAAAATGGATGAGAAAAGAATTTTGCTGGCTTTATGTTGAAAAATATCCAAACAGAAATGACTCTGTGTTTAGGTTGAAGAAGAGTTTCAAATAAATTAAATATTTTATTTGACGATGGCAAATAAAATATTACCTGGTGATTGAAATTGGTTCAGTGTTCAAAACATTTTTCAGTGTAATAAGTTCATTTTAGGTGCAACAATGTACTAACTAGTCATTTTTGCAATTCAACTCAATGGAATTTATTAAAAACTAGTTGACCAATTCTTAGTCTTTTTTTGCAGTGACAGAAAGCATTGAGCATTCCTTTCAGATACTGTATTATAATAACTGTGAACACTGATGTTGATCAAGTTTTTTTTCTTAAACTCTGCTGTATCCCTTTAGCATAACAATTGTCAAATTAAGAACCAAGTACTTCTACTCATCTATGAAGTAATTCCTCATTTTTCCACTCCTGTTTTTAGATCCTCACGATCACAACAAAATAGGCGTCGACGGGATCCAGCTGTTCTGCGATGACCTGGGTCTGAATCCGGCCAGTATCAGTGTCCTCCTCATAGCGTGGAAGTTCAGAGCAGCAACACAGTGCGAATTTTCCAGACAGGAGTTCATGGATGGCATGACCGAACTGGGGTGAGAACATTTTATTATTTAATTGGGGGGGGGAAGATCCTTTTGTGAAGCGTTTGTCCATCAAACAACAGCATGAGTTTCCATTTATCTTAAATTTATGCAAATTGGAATTATGAAAATACATTTGCATGCCAATTAAAAAAAAAAAAGAAAAAAATCAGGGTTTCACCAGAAAACCTTGTGGTATGGGCCCCAATGGTCCTCCAGGTTTTTGAGTAAAAATGTTTAAAGTTCAGAGGAAATTTGGAAATCCGACTAGATAATTACGTGTTGCAGGAAAACAAGTGTCCAAAAAATGTTTCATCTAGCCTATTGGGAGCGCATGTAAAGCCTGGTGGCCCGCCAGGCTTATAATACACTGACATTTTTGTGTTGGAATGAGTTTTTTGGCTTAAGTTAAAAGTAGTGTATTTCAACAGAAACATTTTTTTGCATCATGTTTATCACATGACATGTGTTGTGATACACAATTGGATGTTGCCACTGGCGAAGAAGACGAAGAAGACGACAAGAAGAGACAGGAGGATGACAGGGAGGCATGATTTTTAATAATGTATCGGTTGATAATGTATTTCTTATTTAATCTAAATACCGCAATTGCAAAATTGTATATTTCCCCCCCCCCGACATTAGTGGAATATTGACAAACTTTTGCGCACATTTGTAATGAAAATGCTGTTAGTGAAACAAATCCTTTCTGTTCTTTCACAGGTGTGACAGCACAGAGAAGCTGAAATCTCAGCTGCCAAAGATGGAGCAGGAGTTAAAGGACCAGGGCAAATTTAAAGGCTTTTACCAGTTTACATTTGATTTTGCCAAGAATCCTGGTCAGAAGGGATTGGGTAAGAATCACCTGCGTTCCAGCATGTTTGTTTTCTCTGCCGCGGTTCTACTGACCTCCTGCTGGTTTTCATCACAGATCTTGATATGGCGATTGCATACTGGAATTTAGTCCTGGCTGGGAGATTCAAGTTCTTGGCTTTGTGGAACCAGTTCTTACTTGTAAGTTGAAATTCTGATATTCATCTAGCTGGAAATTTTCTCTAAAAGTTAAAAATGCACGCACGCACACACAAGAATAATTATATAAAAAAAAGTAAGCTAAAGGAGTGCAGAGCTGAAGAGCTTAATATAATGTTTCAGGTTTAAAGTGCTTTGATAGAATGTATTAAGATTTTATTAGGGGTGCAAAGATAAATTGACTGGCCTGTAAATAGACCCTGATTTATTTTTTTCTTCCTCTTTTTAGAATAGATATATTCTTAAACATTTCCAATACTCACACCAGTGTTGCCAACTTAGACTATTGTTATATTTATTGACTTTTCCTCCCCCCAAAAAATCGGCAGGTCAGGCTTTTTAATAATTGATCCCAACCAGAGAAGTGTAATCGGTGCACCCCGAAATTTTATGCAGTAGATCACCTCAAGTTGGTCCTGAATGCACCCTGCCAGTGCTGAACCACAGTGGTGGCAGCATCATGCTGTAGGTGTGTTTGTCTACAGCAGGGATTTGCTATTTTATAAGGAAATGAACAGCCACTTTAGTCTCCTGATGAACAAAGCTGATAGAGATATAACCCAAACAATCTGGACTTATAATTATGTGCCACTCTTTCTGGATTAATACATATATAAAACTACTTTTTACACACTTTTATTTGCTACTTTGTGTTGGTCTGTTGTTTAAAACACTGAAGTTTGTGAAAAGGTGAAACATTTCATCAGGTATGAATAATTTGCAAAGTTGATGGATTTCAAGTTGGGTTTTTTTAATTGTTTCTTTTTGACATTTGAAAATGAGGGATTTTATCCCCCCATAGAAGCTCCAGTTTTGTTCACCCAGATAACAGAACTCCCAGTCCCAGTACACACAGCCCCGCTAGACACTCAGCTCCTCAGTCTCATAGCTGTTATATATTCCTGCCAGTTGCGAAAGGAACGTACCTTTATGTTTTTTGAAAGCTTATCACGCAATCTGGCAAAATGAATCATCAGAAGCTGCCTGTTCTGTCCAGACAGGAGTGGACTCGCCAAAACAGAAAGAGTCTTGTCTCTAAACGAGGTCAGCTGGAAAGAGTTGTTTATCAGGACATTTCTGATGTCAATTGTTCATGCCTGGCTATACATTAGGAACAAAGGTTTAATAATCATATCTACCTAGCTTGTTCATAATTTATGCTAATTTGACTCTGTTGAGCTCTTTATCATGTTATAATTTTATTCCCTCATTGAAAACATACTGGAGTGTTGCCTTAATTCTTTTCATGCATGTTTGAGAAATCCTTTAATCTCCCATGACAACCACTCAGCTGTGAAAAATGTCTGGATGGACATGGCCCCACTCTCAAGACAAAGCTCCTTCTCTGAGCTGCAGTTTCCAGGTTTACAGCTTCTGCCTCACAGCTCCTTCAGACTAGCCAGCAGCAATTAGCAAACACCTGGTGGAACTGCAGAGCTAAGTATAGGAGCTGCTTTTCAGTTAAATGTTTTAAAAAACATTAACAGAGGAGCCATGTTCCTGAAGGCAGAGTTTCAGCAAGAGCAGGAGTTTTTAAAGGGACATATGCCCAATATCAAGGTGTTAAATATCAAAGTCAAAGTTCTTTTAAATTATATTTTATATATATTTTAAAAACAACTGAAGACAACTTAGTTGTCTTTTGTGAACACTGGCTTTGCAAGCCTGTGAACACTGTGTCAAACTGAAACATGGATGTAGCAGCATCACATTGTAGGGATGTTTTGCTTTATCAGGGGCTGATCTAGAACATAATGCCAATATTTTTGGGGTGTCCATCAAAGCGTAATCTTAATCTAGTAGAAAATTAGTGGACAGAGCTGAAAATTCATGAGTGAGCGACGCAACATATATGTAGTATTTTTATTTTTAATAGTGCAAATACTGAGGGCATATTTAGAAACTTCTGAATTTGAGGAAAATTTTAATACATATTCAAGTAGTTTAGCAAATAGGAAGTAAATGTCTTAGTTCTTGCTCATCTTAAACAGAAAGTTTAGTCTGATTTAATGTCGATCAAAAATATAAATATCAACTGTATTTGTATAAACATTAATTAGCTTGAAGTTATCTTTCACAAAGTGGGGAGAAAAATCATATTTTGTAATTTGCTGTCTACTTCTTGTTACTTCCATCACAATAACAAATTTTACTCGACGATAAATTGTCCCAGAGGTTATTGTGATAAACATTTATACTGCTGTTTTGAGAAGAATTTCAATGATGATGCCATAAAAATGTAGAAACACATTCTCATAGATCAATACGATTTAAATTTAACAGTAGAACTGCATGACAGTTTAAATATCCTAAATAAATAAAACAGCATAAATGACAAATAAAATGGATGATGAAGTCTCTATAAACACAACTCTTTCAAAAAAATGGAAGTTGAGACCAAAACACCAGACTGAAGACTTTTGTCATCCAGCTTTTGGTAGAGAGACGGAGAGAGAAAAAAAAAATAGCTTGTGGAAATAGAAATGATTGAGTTGGTTTTAATTCATCATGCAATTAATTGACTTACTTATTGTGACGGGCCTGTTTCTGGTTTCTCAGTAGTATATGCATACATGCAACTACCTGTGAAGTTTCTCTAAAGCAATGGGTTAAAATGAAAAGTCAAATGGGGGAAAAAAATGTGCTTAGACTAGCTTTCTCTGTAATTGCTAATATCATGCATTTGATTACAGGAGCACCACAAGAAATCTATTCCTAAGGACACCTGGAATCTCTTATTAGACTTCAGCACAATGATCACAGATGACATGTCGAATTATGACGAAGAAGGTCAGGGAAACTGCTCACCCAATGATCCGGATAGAAAATCCTTCAACGTTTTTTTTTTTTTTTTTTTTGGCACACCCTCATGTTCTGCCTTGTTCTTCCCCAACAGGAGCCTGGCCTGTTCTCATAGATGACTTTGTAGAATTTGCACGGTCGCACATCGGGACCAAAAGCTCCGCAGTTTGAGGTTCATCTGATGGAAGAGTTCACAGCTGGATGGCTTGTTGAGCACGCCACGCAGGGATTATGACGCCTTTCAAACACTCAGGACTAAAATGTTTTTTCACATCAGAGACTTTATACAAGTGTGTTTGTAACCTGCAGAGGAAACAAATAAAGGCCCATCTTTATTGTTTGTGGTTGATGAGTTTAAAGACTTCAGGATGTTTTATGTGCGCTCAAGCCAGCCGGAGAACCATCACCACCCGTTACGGTCGTCTTTAAAGAACACGTGGATTTACTTTGAAATTCTATTGTAAATTCTTGGCTTCTTAAAGGGATATTGTATTTTAATACTGATATACATTTATTGTCTTGTTTTTTTGTGTTATGATGCATTTGTATGTCAAGCCAGTTTAAAGCACTGGAATTTTTAAACATGGTACTGTTTAAAAATAATTAAGGGATAAATAAGTGACCATCTGCTCTCATTATTTTTTTTAGCCTCATTTTAAGAAGTCAACTTAGTGGAAGCAGCATGAATTTAAATCATGTATATTCCAGTTTTAAATACAAAATTTTAAAACATTTTTGAATCTCACATTTGTGACATACCTATGGACAGACATTACCTTCGATTCTTCTTTAATAAAAAATAGTCCCTTGTGAACACTGAGTGCCCAACATGATACATTGTTGAACTTTTGCTTTTTTTTTTTTTAAAATGGCTCAAATGAATTTGAAACGATCATGTTGCATGTATTTCATAATTTTTCATTTGCTAGTATTTAAAGGCTTATTCAAAAAAATAATTTAAGAACACAAGGTTATTATGTGAAAATCATATAAAATTAAAGCCAGATTTAGTTTATTTATATCTGTGCTGCAGTGCATCATGTGCTGCTGCACACAGTAATAAAACTACAGTAATAATAATGCAATTTTATATGTACCTATTTGTTAGATTATGTTTCCTATTTACAAACAGTGTAATACTTATGTTTTCATTTTTAATTATGGAACACATGGACATTCTTTGATCATTGTTGCAAATTTTGGAACATACTTAATAATTTAAGTTTCCAGTTTCATTTTTAACTGAGGGGTAGTGCCACTTAAAAAAAATCTGTTTAATCTATGCATTTACCAAAAAGGTGTATTTTTATTGTTAACTTGTAAAGGATGCATTTAGGTGATTGTGTCACCTTTTTGAATTATAACCTATTATATTTCTTGTTGAAGTCACACGAAATAGGCAGTTTCTCTCGTTTATTTACCCATTATATTGTCGGTTTTAATAACATAATTTGACTTGTTATAAAATCTATCACTTTCAGTTATGGTTAATATTTACAGACCAGACTTAAGAATTGTATTTAATTATTTGTAGTTACGTCACTTTTCCTCAACAATATGACCTAATGTAAGTATTAATTTGTAAGCAATTACAGACATATTGAAGTACAAATTTGATTATGTATTAAAACATTACTTTGTGGCACTTTTTTTTTGATCAACAGAGGAAAAGCAGCACGACGTTGGGCTCATCGTTTCTGATCGCGCGCAGCCCTCTTGTGATGTAAGCGCGTGCGGTTGCCACGGGAGACTACTAACAGTGTAAAGGACAGAAACTGCTTCCCTGTTGTTTTCAGGACGTTTCGGAAGTCTTCGCTTTCAAGCAGGACAGAAAAAATGGCTGGCTCTGATTTTAATCAGTTTAATAACTCTGATTTAGACAAAATATTATATGAAATTGGCTGGGACCATACCTTTGCTCTTCCTGAACTGAACGATGCCAACAGAGCTCTGCTGGAGGAGGTAAGGCAGTCACGGACAGTTAAAACTCCCTCGATCTACCCTTGTACGCGCAGCATATATTTTACTCAAATGTATTATAAGCTTAAGCTAAGTATAGATATCTGTCCGGTGGCTAAATATGAGTATTAAAAGTAGAACTGTAGAAAAACAGGTCTTCAGCGTGAAATATTATAGCGTTTAAAAGCACCAAACGTTTGAGAGCTGATTTATCAGTTATTTGAGAAGTAGAAGTAAACTCTTATCTTGCCAAACAATGTAATTTACATTTAATGTGTTTTTCTTTCTTGTTTAATTTGAAGGATATTTTGTTTATTTTAGGAAGTTGTTTCTCAGGCATTTTCTTGTTGTCTTTTGTTAACTTAATGGAGCATTAACTCTAATTGGGGCCTGCCATAGAAATACACAGGGACAGCTGTTTGACACATTTATCAGTTATATTTATCGGTTACAACTGCAGAAACGCAGAGTATAACTGACACTAACTGACGCTCCGTTAGAGTGTGAGTTAGGGTGGAGTTTTGACAAGAAGATGGTAGAAGATCAAAGAAAGTAAGAACTATATGACTCATGAAACTTGATACCCCTTAACTGACAACCACATTGGACTGTCAAAATAAGAGCATCACATACCCTCCAAAATAAAAGCCTTCACATTTTTCACAGCAGGTGATTGCTATTTTTGTATGACCGGTTGTGGGATTAGTGAGGCCCTTTAAAATGAAGCCTACTAAACATTTCAAAATAAAAGCTTCAATACTCCTCTCAGGTTTGTGCTGGAGGTAAGGTGAGGAGATGGTGGTGACAAACATACTTTTCTGGGTCCAATAGATACTAAAGTAAAACAGGCTGAACTTAATTCAGCAAGAATTATTAAGTTTGAGTTTCAGCATTAGAAAACTGTTTCCCTTCATCCTTGTATCAACAGTTCAGTATGCTGCTGGTGGTGTAATGGCATGGCATGTGTTTTTCTGTCACCGTTTGGACCCTATACCAATTGAGCATCAACTGAAGTCTACAGTCTACCTGTTTATTGTCATTCACCATGTCCATCCCTTTAACACTGAGGTTGTAGTTTCAGTTTCTGATTTCTATGGTTTTGTCGACAACAGGTTTATAAAGCTGAGATGGAGGTTCTGCAACATGGGAATGAAATTAAGGAAATTAAAGATCGACAGCAGCTTATTAATGAAAGCCTCCAGAGGAGTACACAGCAGCTGGTTAACACTGAGGTGAGTGTGTTGGAACTAACCTTATGTTATAAATGTACCACATACACTGGCTGTGTATGTGGTACATACACAGCCTGTGTTCTAGAAGGGTCATACATGGCAATTATCAATTCAATTAAAAAGAGCTCCAACAACAAAGATATTTATTTTCTTTAATCTGTTATTCAGGTTATTCAACCATCAGCTTGGTGCAAAGTGCTGCCCTCCCCGTTTAGCTTTCAAGTGTTTCAGGATCCGCTGATCATTGATGGATCTTCTTTAGAAATGTAGAATGTGGACGCTGACATTAGCATCGGGGACGTCTGCGCTGCTGCTATATGTTTAGCGTTGAGATGCTACGTTAGGCTTGAATAGTTTCGCTGATAGGCTAACTGCTTTCAGCACAACTGGAACACAACCATCAATTTTTCCAGCCTCCCATCATATCACTTTTGGAAGCAAGAATTAACCCCCTGTGAGTCAAGAGAAGTGGCTTTGTCATCCATTGCTGATGTTTATGCGTCAGAAATGCAGCTGTACCAGAAAGGGAATAATTATGTTACAATTTCTTATGCACTAAAATCTTACAGCAGTTAAGTCCTAGTCTTTGGTATATTTTTCTGTTGAATTGCACAGGATATGTGCGTCACTTTGTGTGGGTCAAAAGTGACCCACACAAATCATTTACCATTTATCATGACACTCATACTGAACTTTGGCAGAAAGTTCAGTATTAGTGTCAGACAGTGACACTGTCTGACTGTGGGTCAGTGTCTGTCCATTGCGTGGTGTTTTAGAAAGGCAAGTTGTGTTATCATATTGTCTGTTTGACTGCGTACAGACTCTGTTGAAGGCAAACGAAAAAGAGCTTGAGGTGACAAAGCATCTGAAGACCCTGGCAGAGAGAGAGCAGGACCGCTACAGTCAGCTGACAGCTCAGGCCAACAAAGAGATCAAGTCTTCATACGAGAAGATGGACAGGATAGAGGTCTGGACACTGCATGACTTGAAGAAGAGAAACCAATACAGCAGCTAAATGATTCTTCTTTCTGTGTCTTCAGAAAAGCCAGCTAAAGGCAATGCAGACTCTGGAGGAGCTGCGGCTTCAGATGGACCTGGACCAACAGACCATGGAGAACCTGTTAGTGGAGGCAGCTAAAAAGGACGACGACTTAATGGTCATCATGAAATACGCCCAAATGGACGAGCATAAGATCAAGGTTGTTTAGCAACACTTGCAGCTTTGGCGTCATACATGTGCCTCCTCAGCTAACAGCCATCTGTGTGTCTCATTTAGTCACTCTTTCTGAATATAGAGAAGAAGACTTTGGAGGTCAAAGAAAAGCGCAAAGCACTTGACAAAGAGCTAACAGAGACTAGGTCTGCTCAGGTAACGTAAGAACACACAGCAATCACACTGCGCATGTTACTGAATGTATTAGTTTGGTATGGAAAATATTGATCTGACATTTGTTTCAGTATTCCATTTACTTTGTGGTCCTTGTGTCTTTTTTTATTTTTATTTTTGTATAGCAGAAATTAGTCTGCATTCAGAGTAGGGGTACAACTGATGATTGTTTTCGGAATCGATCTTATCCAACGCTCTATTGATTAATCTATTGATTATTGCTCAATCAATAGATTAATCTATGTCAATATGCATATTTTCATTTAACCACCTTAGCTTTTAATAGCAACATGCAATAAAAGATGCAAATAAACAAATAATTAAATTGTGTTTTTAAACAGGAATATATATATATATATATATATATATATATATATATATATATATATATATATATATATATATAAATACATTTATAAAGTGAAGCATTTTCCCATATTATAAGCAAAATAATACCAGTGGAGCTAGTACTTTTTCATCTATATTAAGGAATTATTTGCTTAAACACATATCCTATATCTTGCTGAAAAGTTACTTATAAGTTACTCTTGTCTTATTTCAAGTGTACTGAGAAAATTGTCCAAGAACCAGACCACAAATGCATGATAAGATTTTGTGCTTTTGTAGTGTTCTTTCAGCAAATGGCCTTTCTTTGAGCCTGCATATTGCAGTTAACCATTAATCAATTACTAAGTTATTTGACGATTATTTCAGTAATCGATTCATCGCGATTAAAATGATTAATAGTTTCATTGTTAATTTGGAGGCCTTCTTTGTAGTTCTCTATTATTCTGAACATTCTGTCCGTGCAGCTAGCGTTGGATAAGACCATAGAGAATATACAGCAAGCTCGCGCTGAGATCCAGCACCTCTTCCACCTGTGTGAAAACACCATCAAGCAGAAAAAGCAACTCGACTCAGACATGGAGCAATGCTCACTTGTAAGACGTCTACAGCTGGCTTAACTTAACTGTATTTCTACACCAAATGGGACTTTTGCAACAAAAGCTTATTGTTTTTTTTTCTTTTCATTACAGAAAATCGCTCAGGGCAGGCAGAAAACCAGGGAAAAGAATACCTGTGTTGCAGAAATGAAGCACAAGCTGGACACGGAGAGGAACAACAACAGAGAGCTGCAGAGGAACATCGCCACGGCAAGGATGCAGAAGGCCATCCTACGGCAGGAACTGAAGAAACACCAGGAAAACCTGGCCAGGATGCAGGTCGAGGTCAGTT